CTGCAAGGGCGGCTCCAGGCTGAATTTTTGGAGGGTGGGATTGCCATTAACCATTCTCTTTTTAGCATTTTTTTTTTAATAAAAAGCATGTGGTTTGTAAAAGTTTTAAATTTGAGATGGGGGAGGGGAGGGTCATGACCCCCCTTGGAATCGCCCTTGGGGCATTTATTTATAAAAGTTAGTCTAAAATATTAAATAATAATATTTATAATACCTGATAGTATTAGGATTGAGGATTTTCATCCGACCAGTAACATTCATTACTGGAGCAAATGGTAAATGGAGATTAACCATTAAGTATTTTTTGACTAATGACTTCACAAAATTGTAATCATCTTCAATTAATTCTTGTGTTAATTTTAATTTATAGGGATGGAACTTGAATAATACCTCAATACTTGTAACTTCATTTATCACGGGAAATTTGTGTTCAAAATTTGGTTTTCTATTTGCTGCTGATCCAGTTTTTTAAATTTGTGTATATACTTAATTGATAGGTAGAGTCCGATTACAATTAGAAGAACACCGCTACGTCATCATTTGGCAAAGTAAATAATTGGTTATCGCCGCCTACTGAGGGTTTAGTGAAGTATTAAAATATAGGAATACAGGAAATATTGTTTATTTACAACCATATATGTAATGTTGTCATTACTAACGTTATTAAAGGTTGGGAAGTGTCACATTACACACCTCTACTTCCCGCCCTCACTTCCCCCCCTCACTTTATCTATTCTAGATGAATATTTTTTATATTTAAAAAAAATAACACATTTTTTGACAAATTTTATAATACCTATTTAATGGCAAACAATAAAAAGCAACAATGAACTAAAATATAACAAATTACTTATTGATATTTATTATTCGCGAATTTAATATCCGGCTTTATCTGACATTTATTTATATTGGTGACAGTTGTTTACCCTGTAATCACAGTAACAATATATTTACCTACTTGATTTTTCTGAGAAAACCGCGCGCTTGGTAATTTGTCGTTAAATGTAATATTTTAGGTATGTTCAGGACAAAACAGAGATTTATTAACTTTGATCGAAATATGATGGTTGTAAATAAAATAGTATACAAACCTCGGTAGGAAGTTTCATTCCTGTCTCGAGATCATAGCTATCTTATTAATCTCACGACAGGAATGAAACTCTTCCCACCTCGGTGTGTAATATAATATTTTCTACACCCACATGGATATTAGCTTATTTACGCACAGATTACAAAACGAAAATGTATGCTATTGCCTTCAACTGAACGAATATATTTCATATTCATTCTAGGTAGTAAGAAAACTGCAAAAAATGAAATCCATCAATCACCGTTCATATTTTGATCAACCGCCTGCTATTATTTTTAAAATTTTAAATAAGTGACAATTTTGTCAAACTAATTGTCAGTATATTTTTTAGTTATTGAGATTAAACATTCATAAAATGAGTTATTCTTGTGTAGAATCGATATGTAAATAATAGAATTTATATTTTTATTTCGTCTATAATTATAAATAATTTGTTAATTTAACTAAAACTGTATGAAGTCAATTTAATTACAAATATTAAAGCAAACAAAATAAACGCGTAGATGGTCCTGTGGTCAGGGTTCTTGCCTTCTATACGGAAGACTCGAGTTCAAATCTCAGGTGAAGAAAAATGAAATGATTTTTTTTATTTTTTCTTGTTTATTTTATTATGTAAATTAGTAAAAGTCATAAATTATTTTTAAATTATTTATTTTATCTTAATAACCTAAAATAATTTTTAATATTTGTAGATTTTCGTTAGTGGGTTGTAAAAAAAATATACTGTACAACTTGAGTGGATTGTCCATATCGCACTTAGACGATTGAGCACTCCGCCTACGGTGTCGTGCTCAAATTTCGTCTTTGTGCGATAGGGCCATCATATCCATTCTTGTTACACAAACTACTATTTATACCTAACAACTTACTTATTTTTTATGTATTGATAGTTATAGATAATATGTATTCGAAATTCGAAGTAATGGTTATGACGTAGCGGTGTTCTTCTAATTGTAATCAGAGATGCTTATTAAAAACAAAACACAATTTCAATTCTTTGTGTACATCTTAATTTTGGAACGTCTTTAAAGAAAATGATGCTTCAAGGAATAAGAATTTTTAACTAAATCTATTAGAAAAAATTCAATATAATTCGCAATATCACAAATATAATACAAGAAGCCAATCTGACTTTCATGTACGGCAAGCCATCACTAAAAATTCCCAAAATACAATTTTTATTAAAGATTTAAAAAATTTAATAGACTGCCTACAGAAATTAAAAAAAAAAAACAATAAATGTATTCAAAAGTAACCTCAAACAATACTTGATAAATAAACAGAACGGATATACTTTCTTCTGATAATACTCTTTAAACCTGCCCTTTTTAAGTATTTTCCTTAATTTATTGTTATTTTACCCCTCGTTTTATCCACATTTATTATAGATTATTTGTTTTGAGATCATGTACTTTATTTTAAAAAATTACTTGATGTTATATTAATACTACTTACCATGTTTAAATTATTAACAGTTTTGCGACGATAGGTTATAGCAACTCTAGCCACAAAACTATTTTTGTGTTAAAGTAGATCCATAGAGAGCAATGTAATTTACAAAGAACTTCTTTCAACATACAAATAAATGACTTTATAATTAAAATAAAAAACACATCAAATACCTCGGTATCATAATTGATCTAAATTTGAAATGGGCATTATATCCTACCTCTCTTTTATATAATAAAAAAGTGCTTTGTATAAGAACATTATATTATCTGTCTTTCTGTACTTTTATTTATGGAAAGCCTGAATTGAGATATTTATTATTTGCAATAAATATCAAAAGAAGTATACATTTTTAAATAATTTGACATTTAAAAGCCATTCACATATTACAGTTGACATCTTGATACTTGACAGGCAGAGCCAAGCAATATTCTGATTTTTGTCAAATAAAATGGCCGGTTAATTATTCTATGGGGTTGCGACAGAGAACCAGTAAATTTGATGAAGGTGTTTTTGTGGTTAGGGGTAAAATAGTAGTACGCTTAATAGCACCACCATAAAAAAATCATTTTTAAAAAACTGCCTATATATTTTTCATAAATTGACAGGCTTGGCGACTAATTTCGAATAAAAATAACCTCCAAAATTGCTATGGTTGCAAGTATGAACGTCGCAACCCGCCTTAGAAATTTCACCTTTACTATCAACAGCTGTTGTTTGACAGGTCGTTAGAGAATGTTTGCAATTTATGGAATGTAAAGAATGTTAGGAATTTTGACGTTAGAAATAATTGGAATTCCTAAAATTGTCACATAAGGAATGCATAGGCGGATTTTAATAAAATTGATATGAAAGTAGTTAGAATGAACCGAAAATTCTGAAAATTAATAGGGTTCTAAGTTAGAAGTGATTATTCAAGAAAATGAAAATTGCAAGTCAATCAAAACTTTCGTTCTAGAGTTATCGTGCCGGCATACATACACAGACGAACAGACAAAAAATGTTCTTTTGCATTTTTGGACTCAGAATGATTAGAAACATGAAAAAAAGTTTTAAAAAATGGGGGTCTGCACGAATGTAATACTGAGGCCCCATAGGAAGGGCCTAAGTAATACCTGTTTAGTTTTTAACAACGATAATTATTTAAATTTATTATTTATAAATGTAGAAAGATAACTCCGGAAATACTTGAGAATGTGATGCGAAAATTCGAACATAATTTATAACAATGTATGGACATTGGTGCGACTTAATTTAAACATTTGTTTGATTTAAAATATTCAGTGCAGTATTCTCCTTTTTTATATATTTTTTTTTTCATTTGGCTTATTCAAAATTAGGTATTGTATGTTTCACATAAATTAAAAAGTATTTCATTTTCAAAGTTGAATATTACAGAATGAAACATTTTTTTTTATTATATTCGGAAACGATTCAAGGGTTGTGGTGGTTGTACAAAGAGGTGAAATGATATGATATTTGTTTTTATGTCAAGAGATATCCCCCTCGAGAATAAAATTTACCTGTTTTTTCCACCTGAAAAGACCTCTGTTCCCTTTTTAATGTGACATTTTATGACCCTTTACCATAAAATCTAGCAACTTAATTTAGATATTAACATTCTTAAAAAATAAACAACCCCTGGACCTCTATTCTCGACTTCACGACAAAATTTTCCCATGGGTAAAGATTCCACTGCTTATTTTCCAGTGGTAATTTTTTGATTATTCCTATATTCAACGTATGTCTGGTATTAAATACGAAAATATACGAAACTGACCAATAATAATCAAGATATTTTAATACCTTCAAGTCGTTATTTTGAATCATTAATTCTTGTCAAGTCAATGATAATAAATAATGTCAATTTTTGATTCTTGTTCTTTCCTTGTGTGGTGATAGATACAACAGTTGATACAAAGAAAAAGTTTGCCAGAGAGTTAAAAAAAATGGGGGATCTATTAATGTTTCCATATCTGCAAGTAGATCAGAGGAAGCCTATTTTGATAGATTAAATAATTTTCTAATTTTGGTTGCATTTAAAGATTCAAAGGGATCTCCTGCCTCATTTTTCCACTTAGTCCAAAAATCTCTTGGAGCATTATTTGCTTTTCTTTCTGCCTCTTCTATATGGTTTTATTGAAGAAGTAAAATAGATTCATCCATTTTAAGAAACAAGGTATATTAAAAATAATAATATAGCAAATATGACCAATATTCCCATTGGAACTTTGATTTCCCATGCCAAATAAGTGTATTTGTTCCCATACTTTTCATGAGAAAATATTCCTAGTGGATGTATCGGAAATACAAAATATAGATTTCCATATAACAAATATATTTTTCTCATGGGAAAAAAGTCGAGAATTGAGGCCCTGGAAGAAAAAAAAAACATCAAGATTTTAAGAAAACCTTTTGTGAAGTAAAAGTGCCAATCTGCTATAACAATACCTACTAATGCTTTTTAAATATATTGTAGATCGCACAACATGATACTACCAATTTTAATAATTTCCATGATGTGTGGGTTGACTCTAACCGAATACATTCCACCTGGACCAGAATATCGTTGCCCAAAGGACAAATTATTGTTACATCCCTGTACCTGTGATATTGAATCTGATGATGGAATTTACGTTAGCTGCAATAACACAAATTTAGCTAGTATGAGCATAGGCCTCAATAATTTAGCTACTTTTAAATTGCCAATTGAACGATTAACTATTTTTAAATGTAAAATAGGTAAGTTGAAATTTTATAATATGATTAAACTAGGCATTCAATTTAAAAATAATTATTATAAATAATTAAAAATTTATAATTTGTAATAGAACATTTACGATATGATTCCAATTCAATTACAATTATACATCAAAATCTCTGTTTAATTTTTCGTTTTTAACGTAAGAGTTATGCCAAAATGAAGGAAACGTTTACTATCTAAACAAAAGAAGTTAAAAATGCTTTTAGTCTTACAACTTTCAGTTGATTTGAAAATAAATGATAGCAACATTTTTATGACCCAATAGATAAACCTCAATATAACATCATAAATCAGTGACGGAGAATTTCTAAAGTAAAATGTTTAGCATTATTTGTTCCAAAATAAAATCTTTGGTTTTCTTCCTAAATTTTTTAAAAATACCAATTTATTTCAATTCTTGTCTTAAATGTTTTAGTCATTTTTTTCAATAAAAATAAGGCAAGTATGTAGAAAGTGTTATGCTGTTATGCACATTGTAAATTACTTTAGTTAAGATTTACATTTCTGTTTGTATAGTCCTGTGATTGTAACACGCAAAATTGTTAGTTCTGTAATAATAGGCGATAAAAAGTACCAAGTATGACACGTCTTCGAAAAGGTAATTAGGCTTCACATCCTTGTTAGTGGAAATAAAGATAACCATGTAGTATACCTATGTTACGCCGCTGACCCACATGTGTTCAGATTTAAAATTTTACGTCACTCTCTATCGCTGCCTGCCTACATTACTCATTACCAATTGTTGTGTCGCCTGATTCACATCGTTAAACCGACCACATTCAAGCGATTATAAAAACATGTGTAAAAATGATCGAAAACGCAAATCGTATTAGAAATACGATAAATTAAATAAGAAATGAAGGAATTCAGAGCACAGGTAGGAAAATTATGTTTTCCTTTTTATTTAACTGATTTTTAGCTTATTATTTTTTTTTGGAAAAAAAAAATTATTTAATTGTTTGATATCTTAGCCAATTATGGTTCGTGTCGGTGAAATTCACACACACATAAGATTTCGCATTTAAGAGTAAGCTTTGTAAGTGGCATTAAAAAAGTTCAAATAGTTTGGCCGTTATAGGCAAACAATGAAATTAGGACCGCGGTGCATTGTGCCCTTCCGCCATAGGCCCAATTTTGGGATTTCTCTTGCCCCCTTCTGGGAATCACTAGTCACATCCCTTAAGTTCAAAACGCATTTTTGTTTTTTCAAATATCTTAATTTTTACCAATGTTATAAAGAATTTAGTGTTTGAACATTTAACAAATTCAATTTTTCGATCTTCGTCGCCTCAAAATACTAAACAAATTTCAATCGTCCATACCGCGAGAACGGTGCATCGGATCAAAATTTCTCAAGAGACATAAAAATTAGCATTTTTCCTAAGCTTTCAAATGTCGTAAACTGCGTTTTAAAAATATTGATAAATTTCCGACATGCGCCTGCGCAAAATTGAAAAATTGACAAAATCCAAAATTTTGGCACTTTCGAAAAACTGCTACATTTTGTTTTGCCTTTTTTCGAAAAGATCACCTCAAAATACATAGAATCCATTTTGTTTCATCTAATTACAATTTAATGTAAGCTCAAAACCGGTAATTTAATTCGATTATTACAGAAATGATTTACGTAAAACAATAAGGTGTACCTACAAATACGTAAACTTTAATTATCCCTCGTAAAACATCAGTAAAATATTTTGTAAATTGTGGCGCCACTTGCCAGACGAAAAATCTTGTAATGTAAGGGTTTCGTAGTACCCCACTTTTAAAGTTTATTTTTAAGTATTTTTAAAAGAAAAAAATATGTACATGTAGATAAAGGTTAAATCTATGCTCTTCTGGAACCACTTTTTCAAAATTCAATTTAGTTTTTTCTAAAAAAAATTGAGAAAATGGATCAAAAAAGTCGAGTTTTGTGTTTTTTTTTTAGAAAAAACAAATTGAAATTTTGAAAAAGTGTTTCCAGAGGAGCACAGATTGAACCTTTACCTATACGCATATATTTTTTTCTTTTAAAATATGTCAAAAATAAACTTTAAAAGTGGGGTACTACGAAACCCTTGCATGCTCTGCTCTAAAGCCAAGTAAATACTCCTCCTCATATAAACAAAGTGCTGCAAAATCTTGATATATGCAAAACCATTATTAAAAAGAAATTATATAGTTATCATCAATAGAATATTTTGTAGTAGCTGGTCTCTTTAAATAATAAATTTGAAAGACTGTGAATTAGTAGTCACTTTTACACTAGAAGTAAAAACAAAAAAAATGTGTGGTTGAGGCTAATTTATTTATTTAATAAAAACATATATTTAACATGTTTTATTTAAATAAAAAACAGGTGTTATTTGAAATGTTTTACTTTAGTTTAATAATATTTATAAATTGTGGGTACATTTGATCCGAATCTTGCTATAAAATGCATATACATTTCTATATGGTAATATGGTGTATTGGAGTAGAAGCACAAAAGTTTTGATTAAAAATATATTATTTAAATACAATATTCACTAGATATGTTAATTTAGGTAATTTCCTATTCGAAGCCTTACATATAATTCTGGAGATACTGAAATATTTTGCTTGTATACTAAACTTTGGTTGTTATTGTTGTGGTCTGCTGTTAACACTATTGTCCTGAAATTTTTAAAAAGCTTGACAAAGGTTTGTCCAACTCTTTTGTCAGCTTCGTTAATCTATGCTACTGTTATTCTGCATGCAGACATTTTTTACTGGAGATTTTCTCTAAAAACTGTATTCAGTTTCAAATTTTGGCCAGTTTTAGGAAAGTACCTACCTCTGTTGTAAAGGCATTTCAAAGCCATCCTTTGTAAGATGTAGCCTACAAATACATACTAAAATGTATAGAAAATAAATCGCAACATATTACACAAAATTATTTAAATTGAATAAAAACATAAAAATGAATTGAATAATACCCACCAACAAATTAAAAAGACCTAAAATAAATAGACTTAGGGGACGGGAGCTCTAAAAAAGAGAGCCATAATTTGTTATTATTTATTTATTCCAGAAACAAACAGGCATGAGCCTAATTACATGTTCCTAAAAATACAGCGAAAATAGAAATCAACAAAAATACATAATATCTAATTAAATATATAAGTGAAATTATAATAAACAAACCTCGCTACTACAAAATTTTAACAAAGTTCATTAAAGAACAAAACTACTGAAATAATCAGAAATATTCAGGAATAATCAGAGTGTCTGCAAAACCCCACACCAAGGCCACGGAAATCCTACAAGGTTATGTCTCTTTAATCGAGCCCAACAATTTTGTTAAGTTCCTTTCTATATGTGCTTATAGCTACATCAAAAATACCGCAAGAAATGCCTTCGGAGTGTACATTAAACAAAAGACAAATTTTTTCTACTGGACCATGATTATCCGCACGAAAAGTTAATTGACGTGGACGAATACCTGCTATTGGAACATTAATTTTTATTTGACTCAATAAATATTGACTGTCCAAATATCCATTTAATAATTTATGTAAAAAGACAAGGTTGATTATAGAGCGTCTATGTTCCAATTTTTCAATTTCAAACTCTTTTCTAATAGGTCCAAATCAAACAAATCCTGGACTTGTATGATACTTTTTAAAGTATAAATATTTGACAAATTTATTTTGAATAGTTTCCAAAATGTGTTTTAAATTTTGTTGTGTAGGGTCCCATACAGTGGATGCATATTCTAATTTACTACGAACGAGAGCAAAAAATACATTTTTAATCGAGTGTGTGTCTGTAAAGTCCCTAGTCGTGCGTTTCAAAAAACCTAACAATTTGTTAGCTTCTTTGGTAATGTTATGGATATGCTCGTCAAATTTGAAATTATTTTGAAAAACTATTCCCAAGTCGGTCATTTTTGACACTCTTTCTAGTGTTGATCCTTGCATTGTGTAGATAAAATTTTGAGGATTACGAATGTTACTGAATGTAATAACCTTGCATTTGGAAAGATTAAAATGTAATTTATTTTCAAATGACCAATCCGAAATTGAGTCTAAGTCATTTTGAAGGTCTAGATAGTCATCTAGGGTGGATATTTTCTTAAAAACTTTCAGATCATCTGCATACATTAGGCAGTCTGATGTAATACGTAGAGGAAGGTCATTAACAAATATTAAGAAAAGTAGAGGGCCCAAATAGGAGCCCTGAGGGACCCCAGAGCCTGCGAGGATTGTATGAGATACTTCACCACCAAACATTACGTATTGATACCTTAGTTTTAGATAAGACATAAATAAATTTATTAGATGATCGCTAAGACCATAATATTTCAGTTTAGCTAGAAGAATATTGTGATTTACCTTATCGAAGGCTTTCTTAAAATCAGTATAAATACAATCTACTTGCTCACGAGAATTGACACATTTTGATATTTTATCACTGAAAGTTAATAAATTTGTATCTACAGATTTTTTACGACAAAATCCGTGTTGTTCGGTTGATATGTATTTTTGAAAGTAAGCATACAGTTTATCATATATTACAAATTCAAACAGTTTCGCCGTACAATTTAATATGGCTATGGGACGATAATTATCTATTTTATTTTTATCCCCTTTTTTAAAAATTGGTGTTAATCTCGTTCTTTTAAATTCACTAGGAAATATGGATGTTTTAAGCGACTTATTAAAAATTACCAGCAAAGGGTATATTAAATAATCTTTACAAGCTTTTAGGATATAACAAGGAATATTATGCATCCCCATCTATAAGAAAATTGTCTTCATATCCTCAATTACCTTTTAAAATAAACCAAAACAGCACAAAATTGAAAGTGATCTACTTTTCACGACGTATTCTATGTACATGTGAGATTATTAATAATTTATTAAATTAAAATATTTTAACCTAAAAAATATGGGCATTTTATAATGAAAATGTCATTTAAAAAAACATTGATTTTTTTTTTCTTATATTGGTAAGCCTGGCGACTACAGGTTGC